GGCTCAGGGCTGCAGGGGGAGGACAAGAGCTGCCCCCTGCATGACTCTCTCCCAGGCTGGCTGGAGAGAAAAGCGGCAGTGCCCCGCAGAAGAGCCGAGACGCTGAGGCGATGGCCACGGTCCGGGACTCAGCCATTGTGCTGATTTTGCTTTTCAGTGAGTAAGATTCCAAATCCCATTTCTGAAAGATTCTCCACGTGCCTCCCCCCACCCCCTTCATTACTGGCGCTGAGAGATTAAACAGACCTTCCTCCTCCTCCTCTGCAAGAAGGGATGCTGTCAGGGATAGATTTAGGTGCTCAAATCCCACTGGAATTGAATTTCAATGGAATCTGGGAGTCTAAATAAAGAGGAGGGTGATCTCTTGTTCTTCATGTCCACAGACGGTGGGGCAAGAAGTAAGTGGCTTAGTTTGCAGGAAGGGAGAGTGAGATAAGATGTTAGGAAAAACTTTCTAACTATAAGGAGAGTTAAGCTCTGGACACGTTAAGTAGGGAGGCTGTGGAACCCGCATTGTTGGAGGGTTTGAAGATCAGGTTAGACAAACACCCGTCAGGGATGGTCTCATGACCTCAGAAGGGGATGGGGGGGGGCTCTACATGACCTCTTGAGGTCAGCCCGACATTTCCATGATTCCATGAAATCCCTTCAGCTCCTTAAAAAACCCCAGAACCAAGAACTCCCCTCAGTGACAGGATCCTCCCACTAACCTCTCTTTCCCCCTCTCCTTGTGCCAGGCTCCAGCATGGAAGATGCTGTAACTCAGACCCAGCCGGCAGTGTCAGGGGTGGAGCGCGAGTCCGTTTCCCTGGACTGCACCTATGAAACTGCGACTAGCAGCTATTATTTGTATTGGTACAAACGGCCCCCCGGGGAAAGCCTTAATTTCCTTATTCGGCAACATTCTGGTGGAACGAAGAGGAATGAGGCCGGGGAGAGATTCTCTGTCAATTTGGAGAAGTCCAAAAGCTCCGTCAGTTTGAGGATCACAGCTCTGGAGTTGGGGGACGCGGCCATGTACTTCTGCGCTTTCAGTAGAGACACGGTGTTGAAAATTCCTAGGGAGCCCTGAACAAAAACCTGACACCTCTCCGCTACTGTAAGAAACTGACTCCTGCAGGTGAAGTTAGGAGGCGAGCACGGGCAGGAAACGGGTGGGTGTGGGGTAGAGGGCTATGAAGTGGGGTGAGACCTGCCACAGCTGGCTTCCTGGAGATGAAAACCTCTTCCTGATTTCTGGGGAAAGGCGGCACCACAAGGGTACTCAGAAATTCGCCGCAAAGAGGAGATGGAACGAGACAAGGCAGAATAAGATCCCATGGCTGGAAGCCGGAGTGAGACAAATTTAGACTAGAAACAAAGTGCACGTTTTTAACAGTGAGGGTAATTAAACACTGACACAACTGACCCAGGGAGATGGTGGATTCTCCATCATTTGAAGTCTTTAAATCAAGACTGGGTGTCGCTCCTCTAGGTCAGCCACAAGCTATGGGCTGGGTGCAGATATCCCTGAGTATCCTTCTCTGGCCTGTGTTAAAGCAGGAGGTCAGACTGGATGATCACAAAGGTCTCTTCTCACTTTAGGATCTATCCATCAATCAATCTATTAATATCTCTCTGGGGACTGGCGAAGTCTGGGATGGGGTCCTTGTGGAGTTAGGGACTCCGAGTCTATTCAACACCAATGGTTGCTGGGCATCTAACTCCCCTAGGCTCCTTTGAAAACCCCCAGTTGAAATTCAATCCTGGGTTGACACTTAACCCAAGGGACACCTAACCCTCAAACTTCTGGACTTAACTGGCACTTAGGGC